AAGTCGACGGCTGTAGTCGACCGGAATATGCTGAAAATGTTGGAATTTATTACCAAAGATAGCATATATAACAACACTGAATAAAACTGAATATCACCAGAATATAATTCAATTTAAGAACCAAAAACTGGATTAAATTCAACTTATTTATCTGCTGATAAAGAAATTTAAATATAACTTGATTAACTCACAATTCTGAAAGTTAGTGGAGACATTTGGACCATTTCTGTTATTTGCGGAACTATCTCAGACACATAAAGCGACTGACCATTACAGTCCCCCAGGTAAACACTGGGATGTTTATCAGATATCCGAATGTTATTGTAACCCACCTATCTCGCCTTGTGTGTGAGTTTAATAGCAAACTAATTTGTAACGTTAGGTAGAATGTATGACGGCCATACTTCCTGTGGTCATAAAGAGGTCTGGAGAAGGTCCGTCCACTGACCATCCCTTGTCAATTCCGTTCCACAGACGTCCGGCGAAGGGCCGGGGCCCCGTCACCGCGTACTGAAATTGTAGGTTAACTTCCCTTTCGAACAGTGAAGGTGTCAGCTATATTCATCGTGGGCCCTACCCCAAGGCATCAATTTGTGATTGAAAAATTCTAGTGAAAGAAATTAGTTTATCTTTGAATGATTGAATGTCCTTAAGTCTTTAATCCTGTCTGTAGCATTTATCACCTTTTAAATAGGCTAGGTGGCCAACAGCCTGTTATTTGGGCGTGTGGACTTGCAGGGTCTTCAGGCATTGCTTCGACAACCTCATCGCTCTACGCCTTTGTATTGTATAATTACAATTTTCATTACATTTAATTGCCAGTGAAAGGAGGTGACTTTAAGCAATGATAGTCTCTCCACTTCAATTCGACAAAATTAAGAATTACCCGTTTATTTGTAATTGTCGTGTAGTTGTATCGATTAGTACTGCATCGCCTTGAGTGCGGTCCTGTCCTCCCGCTGTGCCCCCTTGAACGCGTGCGCCAAATCGTCACCAACCTCGTGTTAGCAGTGTTGTTTGTTTTCACGGTTTAATCGCCGTTGACGACTTTGGGATGTTACACAAAAGAGCAATGAAGCGTCGGCGATGAAGGAAGGGACCCCTTCTTCAAACCAAGCACCTATCATTGGAATAGTTTGGTAAATGAAGTGTCGTACGACATAAAGAATCGCTGACAAGCATAAACACTAGGTAGCGACGCTCTCATTCTTCACGTCACCAACACTTTTCATTTTCAAGGACGAGCCCATATAATCACTATATTCAGCACGTAGTCAAATTGCTTTCAAATAATAGGGTACAAAAAGAGAAATTTACATCTGACAAGACCCGCGAAAACTTTTAGTCTTACAATTGGAAAAATGGAGGACACTAGTAAGCAAATAGATGTTATGTCTATTTCGTTAATGAGTGGCCCACCACTAGGAGATTCAGGATCGATATGGTACGTCTGTAGAAGTCTATCTGTCCACAACACCCAGTATTACAATGTCGGTAAAATTAATATAACCGTCTCACTAGCCCGCTATATACTCGTACATTTACTCTCTCATCAGGTAATTCTTACTGTTAAAATAAACATATGGAAGTTTGCATGAAACGGAAACTCAAGCAAGAACAGATTCATAAAAATACAATTAAGTACATGTATACATTGCACAACCTTTGTTTGAGATACTAAAATTCTGGATTTCCCGCTCAGATTTTTTTTTTAAGAATTCGTATTACACAATTGAATTTTAACAATAGACAAATCAGTCTTTTTAATGAATTCCAACGACATGTAGAGAAAGCATTACAATTTATTTTTACCTGAATGCATAATTCTATTGACTTCTACTTGAATGCATGATTTTATTATTTTTATTATTATTTAAAAAAAAATGTCATTCTAATGTATAGTATAAATTTGTTCGGAATATATTTACATATCCATTGAATCAACACAATACGAGCATATGTTTATTATGTGACCTTAGTTTGACCCGCGTGTACCTGCGCGTGTGATTACATACACGACAATGAGGTTGTGTGATCTTCATTACGTACTATGTCCTTTTCTCTGTGTGTTAGCCTGCACATCTAACAAGTATGAGAGAAGACAATGCATACAGAGTCTTAAATGAATGCTGTTATCCTCATTGAAAACTGTTGACCCCGTCATTTGCATACTTAATTGGCTATCGTTATTCCTGTGCACGAACGCTATACAGACCAAGATGGCGTGAAGTCGTTAAATTCTCGATTGTTGACAATCGCTGGTTTGTTGAAAGAAAATCTGCAGAGCACGAGAGAGTATTTTCCTTTGATAATAGGAGTGTGAAACATCTAAATAATTTCCTATTATACGTGAATTAATTTTCCGTCTCGCAAATTTTCACAACCGTGCAAACCTATAATTAGAATAGCCCTACCTGTATGGTGGGCAGTAATTACACGGCCGTTATAATATCCTCCCGTACACCAATACCTCATATTTACTCGTGTACCCAAGTGAACTGCAGCCAAACCTGACTCGGATAATGATTGATATGTTTTTTGATTAGTAGTTGTGTAGAAATGTGTGGTCATACCTGTATAGCCCCACATCAGGACCTAAGGTACATGTATCCTGTGCAGTCCACACCCCAGGGTTTAAAGTGCATGTGCTGCCATTTTGTACACTTAATTTTTCGTATTTAACTTTTTCGTTCCACATCTTGTTTTTGCGTGTAAAATCTTAATTATTATTTTTCTATCAAAATTGCGACCATTTCAAAAGTATATTTTCGCTTCGACTCTTTCCGAGTTAAAAATATTGATAGATCAGAAAAAAATGAAGTACATGTATGCGCTTTTGCTATTTATTCTGAACATATCATATTCTATTGATTTTAACCAACCCTATGGAAAGAAAATCGATACACAAAATAATCAATTCAGAAACACATTTAAATCATATACTCAAGTGGGGGATACACACAATTAACTAAATCGGAATTAATTGTTTCGGCCTTTCCTGGTGAAAACTTTTTAATTATACATGTACTCTCATATGGATAGCTTTTAATAATATTTACCTTTGGACAACTTTGTAATGACATTTTGTTTCTGTAGATTAGTTTGTAATATTAACACCTATATAATTATATCTTTGTACATGTAAGTACGCTTTCATGTAGATACCTATATATTAGAATAATTGTGTGATCACGTTTTGCTGAGGATAACTTTGTTACCAGTATGATATTTTCAATGGGTCACTTTGTTATTACGTTTTTCTGTAATTACAGCTTAATGTACTACGGGTAACTTTTTAACCGTATTTTCGTGTGATTACATGTGTTTTGTAACTACGTTTTCCTGTGATGAATATGTTATTTACTTTGCTATGGATAATTTTGCAATTCTATTTTCCTCTGTATAACTTTATTTTTCTATAGATAATTTTATGGTTATTTTTTCTTGTACACATGTAGATAACTTTAGAAATTACATTTATTTGTGGATAAATTCGTACTTACATTCCCCTGTGACAAATTTGTAATCAAACTTTGCTGTGGATAACTTTGTAATATTATTTTCCAGATGATAAATTTGTCATTTTATTTTCGTGTGCATAACTTTGTAACTTCATTTTCGTGAGGATAATCTTTGTAATTGAAATTTCACGTGGATAACTTAGTAATTACACTTTTGAAAATGACTAAGACTTTGAAGTTGGCTGCAACGATCAGGCAGCAGGAATAAGACCGATCCAAGACACGTTATGAAATTGAATATTTTCCATAAAAGGAGGCTGCAAATTTGGCGTGTTAGGGGCGGAGGGATTCTGTCAAGAAAGGCGACGTCATGACACGACCTAGAACTGCATACACGTCATTTCTCTATGGTATTAACATACTTCTATATACACCGACAATTGTATGTATGAATGTCTACAATACTAAAACCGCTTAGCAGCCCCAAACTCATTGATTTTCTTTGAATGTTATTTCAAAATTAGGTTTTTTTCCACGTTTGTAAATGATAAGCTGCAATATTTTACACATTATCGCGGCGCCTGAAACGTTGTTGGGCAATAATCGATAGTAGAAGAGATAGTGTTGGGTGGAATGTTTAGTCGATTTCTGCACATTCCGTCACAAACACACTTCATTAGCTGGTGTATAAAAAGTTAGGCGGGACAGATTAGAATAATTAACGGCAGTGTGAGAGGTGGATCACTAGGCGAAACGTTAAAACTGGGTCAGTACTTTTAGGAAAACCGCAAGTTTCACTTCCCAACATTTCAATGTTTATTCCGGTATCTGATATATATCATTTTTTAAAAGAAAAAATATGAACATATCCAGTGGTTATTTTTCTAGAATAAATTAACACAGAGAATTTTCATGTTAGTTTTAGAGTGTGTACACGTTATATTATCTTAGTATAAAGAAAAGAGAAAATGCTGGAAAAAGACCTTACACACATCCTCTAAAATCATCAATTCGAAATGAGGATAAACTACTTAAATGAGTTGAATTAAAAATGATATCATGTGTCATTATTATAGAACACTAAATAACCGTGATTGGAGGTCAGACAATACGGGGGCTGGTCGGCCGGCCATTGTAGTAGTGCTGTGACCATTACATTGCGTCCCTCTCTATATCTTTATTGTCCCCAATGGTTACGTTCTTCTGTCTCAAGAATACTTCCTACTATCAATTTATCAAACCTGTATTTTTAACCAAAATATTTTGTGTGATATTTATCATTTTATGTTTTCGGGATATAAGAACCATCTAAGGTTATTAAAATTTATCCGAGCTTTTTGAATTAATTTACAATAAAATACGTTTAAACTAAACTCCCAATAAAAATGAGAAAGCGCTAGCTATGTCGTCATGGTAAAACAGTATTATAAAGATGATGGAATTATAAGAGACGTAAAAGAGAACATTGATACAGGATATCATTCTAGCTCGTTCACTTTTCCGAGTTTTCCTGTATCTAGTCGGTAAAGGTGGTCTTACCGTCCAGTCTTTGTGATGATCATCTCAGTGCCGAGTTCGTGAAATTTGTCCCACAGGTCCTTCGTTTCCAGACAACACTGAATTCCCGCCATTTCCTTGCTGCACGCGGGTGAAGTGGTGGTGGTGCTGACCTCGTCGGTGTCCGTGCTCGGTTCAGATTTTATTTTCTCCTCCACGGATGGGGTGGGGGTATATTTCGGCACAGGCGACACGGACGTTGCAGTCTCCACTAATTTTTCTGCGAAAAAAAAGGATAATCTTATTTTTTAAGCATACATTTCAAATGCAAATTTCAAATTACACGATAAGATATTTTTTTTACTCGCAAATGAATACATTTTTTATCAAAATCTTGATACATAACGCTTTAGCTAAAATAAAACGGAAAGAATTAAAACAATATAATAACTGGAGACACAAGGAAATGAAAAGACGCAGGACACATCCTTCCGCCCAACCTTTCCAAGTTAAAATGATTTTTCCAAAATATAGAATTTAAATTTGGGGATTGTATGGGAGAAATTGACTAACATTACATAAAAAAACACTTCTACAGACATGAAAATAACTTTCCCATAATTAAGAAATAAAATAATGGAATTTAAGATTCTGCCGCTGACAGGGGCCAAGGAAATATGGATTTAAAAAAAAAACAAATCGATAAGTACACATCATTGGTACTATTGAATCTCCGGTTATGTATGTATTCTGTGGTCATTTTTTCTGAAATGAGATTTTCATAAATTCCAATGTTGTATTACATAAGTATAAGACAACCCCAACGTCTATATTCTTCAACTGTACACAGATAATTCCTAATCATTTAGATCTCTAAGTATTTTGAGAGAGTAATCTTAATAATGCAGATTAAAATATTACAATTAAATATTTTACATGTACTAGTGTTTATATTTTTAGTTTGAAGATAAAAAGTTTCAATTCAATACAAGTCAGAGTTACTGAGGCTGTTTACTGGGGTTTATGGAAGGAAACCCACATATACAGTTTGCATTTAATCAAATACTGTATATATTTGTCACAAAAATATAAATTACAATTTGTGAACATTATTATTTATGCATGTGGAATTCAACACCCTCCCTGATTGTTTACTCGACCGGCAGACTTACACGATAGAGGTAGACAGATTGTATATGGGTGCGTATTTTGTTTTGGAAAGTGAGTCGAAACTTTTTCATTTTGAACTTAAGTGTTGATGACCATTTCATCATTTAAGTGTTTTTAAGATAAATACAGAAGCATGTCTGGCCATTTCTGCCCATCATCATGGGTGTTGGACACAACACAGGCTAGCATCATTAGCCCTCTGCTAACCCCCCGTACTACGCAGCTTTCACGCTAAATTGAGCAGAGACAACGTCAGAGAAACATACTGCCATAGAGGGGCTGTGTGTCGGAGACATATCAAACTAAACCTAATGTTTAAATGGCCGTATTACGGGACTAGTATGTGATGTTTTCACCGATACATTTGTACACTTTACACACAACTGTGACTCTGTCACAGATAACATACAATCAAGGAATTCCAAATGATAAACAAATGGCTGATTTTAACACGAGTTAATCTTTTATTTGCGGTTTAAAGTTGACAGCGTTCGTCGCATATTTAAAATGATAAAATAGTTTAATTATATTTGATAAAATCTTTCGTTTATTTTATTTCGAAAATTACTTTAAAGAATTTTAAACTACACGACTTTCGGTTGTAGAGGTTTTCTATCTTTGAGGAAACCTTTAGAAATAATATAAACGTAATTGCTTAAATACCTTTAATTGTACTTAAACAAATATCGTTTTAATGTGCCAATTCTGAAAAATATACCAATTTTGTAAAATTAAACAGATGCATGGTCTTTATAAAATAATATATGAGAGGCATGTACAATGTTCGGGGATATATTATCTATTAGAAGGCAGATGCATTTGTTATTTATTTGTGTAGGTAAAAGGGGTGTCTGTTCAACAAAATTAAACTCTAAATTGACAATGAAAATGTTAACATTAAACAAGGAGAAAATGAAACAAGCGACATAGCCAGCAATACCTGTATATTCCTAATTTATTGTAAAATGACGTAATATTTGTTGTATAGTTATTTGACTTATAATAGGAATTACTAAGAAACAAACAACTAGATACCAATTGTGTATTTTGACAGAATTCTTTAAATTTTTGTTACGCCATTTCTTTTGTTTTATGATATCAATATTATTGGTACAATTTGCAAATTGTCATCTTCTTTTTATTGTTCATAGCGTTTTCTTTATAGTATAAACAAAATACTGCTACGTCTCAAATACATGGATTGATAAAAATGCAATTCACGCCTGTATCTCTTAGGTCGAATGTGTTTATTTACATAGATAAATTACCATGCAGTGTGTGTGTAATAGCAGGGATTCTTTTAACCCAATAAACCGATTAAATACTACATGACATGGATTAATTTAAAGACATGTGAATTCAAAAGACAAAATTAGAAAACCGGTTGAATGGAACATATTTTTAAAATTATTTAAATAAATACACTTCATATTAGTATTTTAAACGGATGATTGGGTAATTATTTAACGGATTCTGCCTGACCAGCATCTGTATTTGTGAAGGGATGATTACAGATGGAAATATCCATGACTTCCCGTCCCCCGGGCGGCTTACCTAGGGGTGCGATCTGGGTCTCCCCGCAGTCCTCAGGCCTGTCCTCAGGCCTGTCCTCAGGGGAAGTGTCTGTTGGGGTGAGGGGCCTGTTATCCTCCTCTTCCTCCTCCCGTCCCATCAGTGCCGCTATGGAAAAGGCGGTTGCTTTGGACGATAGTAGGGCTTTGGAGGGGGACACCGCCCTTCTGTCCCCGGGGTAGCCGTCCACACACGAGTTGTCGTCGGAAAAGCTATCCATCCTGTCAGAGAAACGGTCCGTCACAGAATGCTTCTACAGTCTATATATAGTTTAGCACTATTTAGTAAGAAACACTTCCTAACATGCAGTCTTAAATCTCATGTCTTTCTGCTTACACGCCTAATCGTCCCAACAGTGCATACAGTAAGCTGTTAGAGATTTTAATATATATACATTGTATCTACATTGCTATCATCACGGGAATGTCGGAGAGACAACACGTTTATTTTGGCTGCTGTCACACTCTGACCATCTTCCGTTGACAATATCACTGTTCGTCTATCACACATTGGCATCTTAAGTTACGCTAATTTCTGCACTTGTTGTGTGAAGGGCTCCCATTGGTGCGCGTGCCAGCGGTTTACGCCAACCACAGAGCGGTTGGGGTGGGCCCTCGGGCGAAACAGTCCGACTCGATGGCAATTAATTGGCCAGCGATACCATCTCCGCTACACACATACACACGAGCGGGTCTGGTTTGTACACTAACATCCACAATGCTTTAAACAAAATATGTGACAATTCCTAAACGGTTTGATGGATTTAGAAGCGTGAAGATAAAAATATGAATTGAAACGTGCGAGACCTGGTGCTTATAATTCCTGATTTCCTGTGACGGTACACACACAAATATAGATAATCATCTGTACTGATGTGTGGGTACTAGGTAAACACGAATTATAGACAGCCAATTATCTCAGGTGAGATAACTATAATTCACTTATCTCCAATTTAGATTTACACGGTTATTTAATTTAATTTAAACTATTAAAAGATAATACCGCGTACTTACATTATGATGTTACAAGAACTACAAACAGCAACAAAAACAAGTATCTTAATTTTATCAAACGTTCAATAGTTACTGTTCCAAAGTGAATGCACGCCTTGGTAATTAAAACAACCTCTTACAGTTGTGTTCTACCATTTAAAAAATATAATATGATCTCTGATGAAGGCCAGTAAAGTTAACATATTCAGAGAAGCATATTCAGGAGACGGATACTAACAATAAAACTCTTTGATATTTAATTCAGTTGTTAGATTATTTATGGTTTTTAATGGACGAGAAAGCATATTATTATAATTGGTGTATATATAGAATAAATACAAACAAGTTAAATAAATACAGTGAAATTTAATAAATACAATACAGTAATACAATGAGGTTTACCAATAGAGATATAAAATATTAGTAAAACGACCCAAAGTTATTGACGAAGAAAAATGATCCGCTCCATTTTTTATTCAACTTTTATAGATAAAACTGACAACATCTATAACAAATACATAAATTGTTGTTTTTAGCTGAAATAATTTGATATATTTTAGCTGATTTTTTTTCCTTTTTTCTTTTTATGCGAGCAACTTGGAGGTTTTTCACGCAATGTGTACACCAGGTATGTTGACGTCTTAACGTTTGATTTGCTTTTAAATGTTCGCATTGTATTTTTTCTCTCAGATTATTGAGTAAATTAAGCCGTATCAAACAGACCATTCGTGTCTGAATGTGCTTCACACATAGAGTCGGTAAACAGGTGTAACACTACCCCGATCCCTGCCCTCTCACTCCACCGGAAAAACGGCCGCCACAAAGTTCTCTCCTCTCGCGTGTAGCCTCCGCGAGATCTTGTCACAGATAAGATTGTTTAACGAGATCATAAACGAGATGTTATTTTTATGTGGTAATCAATATGTTCGGGTAGCAGAAAATTATAACGTTGATTATAGTTTTTACAAGAAATCTCAAGAGAACAACTTTGCAACAACACCATCTTTGACCAGTTAATTTCTGAATAAGTCGGGTGGGATCTTGTGTATTCATCCGCACCGATTATTTTGAATGTCGTGGTGATGTGTCATAACACTCCAATGTTGTTGCGCGGTGTGGGGACTATATTTAAGTGGTTTGTGGTTGATCTGTCACCTTTCGAGGGCTGTTGTGTCCTGTTTGATGTGCAGATAATCACCACCCTGCAACTTTCATCAGTCTGCACATGCGCATCTTTAATGGCCGGTGACAACCGGGTATTATCCCAATAGGGACTAGCCACTTGAGTGGACGCGCACCACTGCATGCGTTTCGATCAAACATAACCAATCTAATGAAATGTGACGTAATTTAATAAAAAAAAAGAAGCTGTTTTTCATATTTGTTAAAAGGTTGACACGGTTGTTTAGGAATCATCTGATGTCATATGGTACTTTTTGAAAAGATATTATTGACGGATACAGAAATATAACATACGCATTGTTACTTTGTCCGATAGTCTTATTAAAATGATCTAGGCATGCTCCATACCCTCCAATGCCATGCAATATCCCCATAAAACCACATAGTCGCTTCATTTCTCAACGGGAAACGTATGTTCTACAAACGCAAACCTTAAAAAGCAGTTTATATTATATAAGAGTATATATTGATTTCCATATACTAAGCCAGGACTGTCTTCAACGTATTACATATTTTTGGTCAAGAATATACAATCAACATGTTTTTCTCTGTATGAATAGAAGAAATATAAACATATGAAAATATTTGGGAATACAAAAATTCGGAGCAAATTTCTGCTAGTCGTTCGTTTCTTGCCGAAAATGAATCATATTTTTATTTTTTCAATGGACCAATTTTGTTTCCGATATGCGTAGTTTTGACGTCATAGGATTGTGACGTCGTATTTAAGATATTAGACATGATGTCAAGATGTCGATTTTAAAGATTTCAACATAAATCTCGATAATTTAATAAAAAGGAGCTTGAAATTGTTTGCATTTCAAATGCAATTTCTGACACTCATTTCAGAATTTTCTGTTTAAGCTTAACTGATCATGAGCCTCGCATTAAAGGGCAAACTATTCAAGGTCTTTTTTTGGTACGACCATATCTGAGCTTCGTATACGGATATACACATTCAATAAACTGTTAATTGGTTAAATAATAAACCACTGTTAAGAACATGTAAGAAATATCAAACATGGCAAAATATATCAAAATGGCAATTTGTAGAAGGACTACATCACACTCTCCATAATTACGTAATAATGGCTTCTATTATATTAATTCTCCAAATTTATGTTCTGTATAATATCTGAAATATATATAACGAATATCCCTGATTATGTAATATATGATGTTATTATTCTCTTGAAACTCTCCATGCTAATGTTATCCTGGTGTACCCCACTACATGATCGGATGAGGTGACTAAACGGATATTGGACCTCATGCGGAATAGGAGTTGTCCTCTGTTTTCCTCTGCGAAGAGGTTATTGAAGAAATCAAAACTGATCTTTTGTCTTTGTTGTACTTTTGAAACCTCTGTCTTGAACTTTTTACCTACTATTTCTTTCTGCGATCGGCGATGTCTCTTGAGACACCTCTGGTCAATGAATTATTAGGACAATGTGACCGGTTGGAGCGTCATGCTACAGTGTCCAGGTTATTTCAGAGAGTTGGTAAATTGAAGTTATACCGAAACTCAGAACAAGGTCAACAAACAAAAGAATTAAATGTACCTCTTTATATTTGTACATCTCCATTTTTATATATTGAATTTGTATAGTTGTACAGAAAGCAACCCATGATTCAACAGTCTCTAGGTAAGAAAGATGTTTTGAATTAAATTAACCTTATGACACACAATTAACATTTACGTGTGGACTATATTTTGTATGATATAGAGAGATTCATAGAGAGTCAAAGGTATTTATCACTACTCTCTATAGATTTACCTCCAGTCCGTTTGTAACAACCGCAACATATCGAATGTTTCAAAGTATCGATGCATCACCAATAACTTCAGTAATTCTGTTGTAGAATGTCAATTGTAAACAGAAAAATGATGACCATCCAGTTTTTGATATGACTCACAAAACTAGATATCAACTTGTTGGAGTCAATGATAATCTGAAGTTAAAAAACCCATCTTCACACACGTTTTTATTGAATGAAGAAAAGAAAGGATACATTACAAGTATAAAAGGCAGTGCAAACATCTAGTTTCGTACCTTGGCCAAGCTGATGTTTCCTTGAAATTCGGGTTATCGCTAAGGTACTGAATTATCTGGTCCGGACTTTGTAGAAAAGCTCATGGTCGGATAAACCTTATCGAGGATCAAACTAATAAAATTCTATATGGATATATTTGAAAAAAACTCTGGGAATTGTCGATCTTGATAGGTTTCACAAACATTTGGTGTTAATTGATTATTTTTCTTAAGTGATTTAAAAACATGGATTGATAAAAGACTGTTCTGGTGATAGCGGATGTCTCGAAATTCTCTCCGTATGAAGGTATTTACCAATACGTTAATAAGTAGATAGTGCTAGTGTAAAGTGGACTATAACCATTTTCCCTTCACGATTTCATTAGTGTTTTATCGTGGTTTCCTGGTCACTACCTCGATTCTCTCTTTGAGAACGTAACATTATCTGTACTTGACCTTTATTTACATGGCGACTGTATACTTCTTATCTTTGACGCAAGCTTACTGTTACGAACTAACGTTTCTATATTTATTCTGTAGAACATACATTCGCGGTTCACTTCAAGTGCGTTTCAAATGTTAGGTATGGATACGAGATATCTGAATTTGTGTATGCCACATTTTACGCAAATTTACGCGAAAATTTTCATCCCACAAAATATAAGAAGTCCAGTATACGAAAAACTGTGAAGTAGATACTGTTGCAATAATTATGGGAATATGGCACTCTAATGTTGTCCCTTTCGCTTATTCCCCTTTTCAAAATTGTGATAGTAATGCAACATTTTGGTTTTGCTATCCCTCGTTTATTTCGCATTGACTTCGCTTGGTTGACATTCTAACATGTAATCGTTCGGGGAATCAAGCTTAGGTATGAGTCTACGAAAAATACGGAAGAGTATCGGAAGCCATCAGACGTTACCGTTACTATCACGCCGTCTTGTCAAACGCTGTCATCCATCTTAATCATATCTCGGACAAACATTTCAAGCTTTTTCTCTCATTTTACCTTATTGTTGAGTTCCAGAAAGACGAGGACGTGAAATGATACATCACCCGAGTAGCCCCCGCGGAGCTACGGCGCGGCCAGTCCCAGCATCTGAATTCCGTCTCTAAATGACGTTTATTTAAGTCGTGATGGATGAAGCCGCGCGAATGAGTTAATTCTGATTAGCACGAGTTGTATATGCCTGACAGCACGGTACATTGGAGCACCCCTTCGTACTCTCCACTGGTGCGGGCAAGTGACAAAAACGGTGTGACAACATATTTATACACAACACTTTATTAGAC